TCTCGACACCAATAAGCTAGCGGCACGAACTTTTTTTAGGTTATTCATAGACCATTAGGGTCTACATGATGCTTATAGTATCGACTCAAAAGCGATGTGACACTTGGGAATGCTCCCTCGTGAGAAAAGTGGTCATTTATCTCATAGAAAGATTCATTTTTCTGCTGATAGATCCTTTATATGTTCATCTATATCGAACTGCTACTGGTCTAGAGCAAAGCATTTTTCCTATGGATTATTCCTAGAAAAGTGATCATTTTTCTCGCAGGTATATTCATTTTTCCGCTGCGAAATCTATGATATCTGAATGTCGTTCAAACATTTTTTCTTTGAATGTTATTATCCTTCCGAAGAAAAGGAAAATTATTTTCTTACACATCATTATTTTTCACTTGATTCTGAGTTTTTTGCCTTCGTTATGTTTGCTATACTTGTAGTTTTTTTCCGTGATTAGACAAGCACCTTTGACCCATAAGCCATTTTTCTTATGAGATTCGACATTTTTTCTTCCGATCATAAAGTTGCCCAACCCTTCAAAAACTACATATTTGCTTACTTCTCTTAAATATAAGAACAAAAGTTTCTGTGTAGTTTAATTATTTGAAACTTGATAATAAAAAAGAAATAATAATATTTTGATGTATAACTCTTACAATATCTTGACATCAATATTAACACGTTATTTCTAAAAAAAAAAAAAGAAAACCTTTCAATCTAGTGGCAAGTATAGAACTCTTTATTTCTATCATTTGTTTGTATCATTTTAACTAATATAATTGAATAAAAATGTAACATACATTGTTCAATAGCGACATTTTTAAATGACAAAAGCGTATTGGTTGATAAATTATATACATTTGTCTTGTTGAAGTTGAATAACAGAACGAAAAAGTAAAACAAAACTTTTACTTGGTTTTTTTTATTTGGTGCTAAGTAACAAAATGGATATTGATATCGTTAACGCTATATTACGATTATGCACTGAAAAACAAATATGTCTATTCGAAGTACCATTTCTATGTAATTATTGTCTTGAACAACATTTATGTACGAATCCCAAATATGTCCTTGCTAGTATTAAAAATTATATGGAAATATTTAAAATCAGTCGAGATAAAAATCGAATCGAATTTGTTATGCCTGTTTGTATTGATTTATATAGATTTTTTTCATGATTTTTATGTATTATTTTATAGTTTGAAATCTGTCGAAATAAATTCATCGATGGTATTTGTCAAAATGGAGATTCATTATGTACAAATTTTCATATATGTTACGATTATTTTTATACAAATTCATGTCGTTATTCAATAAATTGTTCATATCCACATATGTTAACAGAAAAATATCATAAAAATATACTTGGACCATTAATTAGTCTTGATTTAGATTTATTAACTAAAGCTTTTCGAATTTATTGTCAATCTAAAGTAATTAAAAAGTTTTTCTTTGTTTGTCTCATTTTTCAATTCAAATTTTATCTTTTATTTTTTAGAAACACTTAATAAATTATAATTCATCGAAAGGACAACAGCCAATCGTCAATTCATCTCCAATTAATAATTCAACACCATCATCATCTGTAACAAATAATTGCCGAACGATAATAAATCCACAAATAAATGGAAATTCATCGTGGAAAACAAATAATCGACTACTTATTACTTTAAGAACTCTTCCAAAACAACAAACAATTTCATCAATTCGTAAGTTTTTATTAAACTATAGATTGAATAGCGCATTAGTCTTTTTCTATCATTGATAGGAAATATAGATATTCAATGAATGATGATTTTGAATGTCTTAAAATGAAAGTTGTCGTTTTGTTTTCCTACTTTATTAATAAAAAACATTACAAAAAGTTCGAGAACTTGATAGTGATATTCTTTCACTAATAACATAAATTCCATCGATTTTTTTTTCTGCCAATACTGTAGGACGCCTAAAATGTAACCGATCTGCTAACATATCAGTTTCGTCAATACCAATTGACAAGCTTTGTGTTTTACAATCGTATATGACTCAAATTGAGCTTTGAATAAAGCTATTTTAGTTCTAATGTGTATAGACATAGACATTTAATCTCAACGACGTTAAATACAACTTACAGGAGCAATAAGTTAAATTATAGAAAGCTTATCTAAATTGTTGAAGAGCTATTCGCATTTTCTTTTTATTCCGATGGACTTTTGAAAAATTCTACAGATCAAACTATACCAGCACAGCATCTTTAATTGAATATTTTTTAGAGATTAATTGCACGTACTGTTATATCAAAGTAGGCTAGTTCAACTATTGTCGATTCTCAAGTTAACATCTAATGTTTTAATTTGAAATCAGACAACAGATTTTATTAACATTGAAAATTGTAAATATTATTATAATAATGATGAGGGCTATCTTTGTTTTCTCTATAGAAGTACCAGTGAAGAACTTATACTATATTCTTCATAATCCTGAAGTCTACTCAACAGGCGAAGTTCCGTTCTAAAATTATAGCTTTTTTGAATTGAACGTAGACCTATTCTATTCAAAATATGCTCACAAACGAACTATCCTAATTGATCCTCGTTGTTTGGGCTTATATTGCACCCAGGGTTGGCCGTAAAAGTGTCGAAGAAATGAAGGGGAAAAATGTCGAAAAAATAATATCGACATGAAAAATAGTCACCAAATGTTTAAGAGAGTTATGAATAGAAATGAACATGTTTTATTATATGCGTTGGTGTTAACATTCTAACAGTGATCAAATATACAGTCGAGGACAAAAGTTTAAGCGATCTGCATTTGTCCTTTCTCTTGTTCTGCGTCTATCTCAGTCCAAGTAAGTCGAAACCATTTCGTTCACCCACCATCTTGTAAAGTTTTCGACGCTCTTTCCAGCGGTGGGTGAATTAAGGAGAATTGAGTTAATGGGGCGGAGTTATTGCCGTTTTCGGTGTTTTTTGGGCCTCTATGTATAATGCGAATAACTCCGCCGTCTTAAGTGGAAAGTCCGATCTTTTTTCACCAGTTGATAGCCCTTAAAATTCTGCATTGACCTATGTGACTTTTGTCCCAATATTCTAAAAGCTATAGGTCAAGAAATTCGTACCACCAAAGCGGACCATAACTCGGTTTTCACACAAAAACAAGTTATGCTCCGCTAAAATCTCTATCGAAATCCAAACCCCTTTTCAACGATGCCCTATGCACTTTGAAACACCAGCTACAAGATGTGCTAAGTGCGAGGGTTCTACTTTGCTTCCTGTATTTTAGCGGAGCATAACTTGTTTTTGTGTGAAAACCGAGTTATGGTCCGCTTTGGTGGTACGAATTTCTTGACCTACAGTTCTTAGAATATTGGGACGAAAGTCACATAGGTCAATGAAGAATTTCAAGGGCTATTAACTGGTGAAAAAAGATCGGATCTTCGATTTAAGACGGCGGAGTTATTCGCATTATACATAGAGGCCCAAAAAACACCGAAAACGGCAATAACTCCGCCCCATTAACTCAAATTTCCTTAATTCACCCACCGTTAGAAAAAGCGTCGAAAACTGCACAAGCTG